ACTTCATGCTGTCCAGATCTCCGTCTGCCTTTTTGTTTTGTATTTTTATTCTCCAACGCCGCGCTGCAAGGCCTAGGAAATTTCGGCCCTAGAATCGCTTTTGATCCAGGTATTTGCTTGCTGTTGACCACACCGCCTTGTCTGCGGCCGAAACCTCCTTATTCAGCGTCTGCACACCCTTGTGGATTGCATCGAAGAAAGCGTAGGCTAGCTGAATATCCTCCTTGAAGTCAGTAGCATAAGGGAAGAACTTTCCGGGGAAAGCGTCAATAGTAGCTTGTCGCTGTTGCAGCGTTTCACCGGCGGGAACCTCGTCCATCAGCGTCTTGACCGCAATACCTAGAGCAATGTCTGGGCTGTGCAGGAAAGGCAACCTGCATATCTTCTCGTTAATCGTTGCGGTCAAATTTTGGGTTAGGTATCCTTACGTGTTGTTAATGTCCAAGTAATCATCCCTATCTCTCTCAGACTGCGCGTAAAGGAACATGGATGCCACGATCGCCTCCACCAGGTCGCGGTCAGCCTCGCGCACTGCGGTGGACAGGGATCGGAACAACAAGAGATTCTTGTTGAGGGGACCCGTGTATCCATTTGCCTCGTGTCGAAGCTTGAGTAGCGAGGAGCATCGGCTGAGGAGAATGATACTGGCTTTATCATCCTCACTGCCAGCGCTGGGAGCGCCATTGAGCTCCTCATGTTTGTGTCGGGAGTTGAGGACGTCAAACCTGATGAGCTCAAAAGCGGTCAAGATTGCCTCAAAGATGTTAAGACCTTCAGGAAGTTCAATGTTCTTCAGTGAATCCTTCATGGCCCAAATCGCACTAGCAACAGCATTACCCCAGTTGGTAAGCATGTGAGAATCGTCAACGTAGCCACGGAGATGTAGGAATCGCCAAATGACAACGGCTTTGATATTCTGAGACGAATCGATACCACCAATGCGCTTCTTGTCCTTTGGGAAGGTGGCCGTAACGAAATCAGTGAACAGCAGTGCTCCGAATTCGTATGCGATTGAGCCAGGGGGGTCCTCCAGGCCCTCGACCATCTTGAAAGAGCTCTCCTTCACATCCCATGTGGCGGCACGCAGAGATGGCGACGGTTGAAGGGATTTGTTGATCTTGTAGTTGAACGCATCGTCGAACCACACTTTGAGGTAGATTGGGTTGTGCTGCAAACCACGATGCAGTCTAGGGATGAGAAGTGCGATACTCTGCTCCTTGAGGGGAACGAGCTGGTTTGTAATCAGCTTTTTGTACTGCTCCGAGGACACGCCGTCGAGAGTTGGTGTCACAACGATTTGGCTGTGTGTTATGTAGTTGAGAACGCGAGCACCAATCAATCCCGTGTTGAGGTAGTGGAAGAGCTCTCCAGGAAGCTGTAGGCCGAGATATTCGTGATTATCGCTCGTAATATGATCATAATCATTCACCTTGACCTCGCCGCTCTCTGCGATGTAGATGTAGTGGTTGATGGCCATCTTGGCCTGCCTGTACTTGTCCAACCACTTCGGGTCTTTTGACTTGAGAACATCCCCGTATGAGCTGCAAGCGGACTGCACTGACTTCTCCGACGCTCTGAGGAGGTTAACCGCATCTTGAATGGTGAATGGCTGACGCGGGTTAAGAGATGCGTCCTGAAGAGGAGGGAAGGGGGGCAGGAAAGAGGTGCCAGTCATCAACAGCGCATCAACTAGCATGCTTTCGCTGACGTTGAGTGATTTCAGCAGTAGTTTCTTGGAGAGTGAGGTGACGCTCTTCGCTTCCCAGTCTATTGTGCGGATGATGGTGTCCCTGATGGGGTACAGGAGTAGCTCTTGGGAGCCCATGATGGCAGCGCATTGATCGGAGTCAATCACGTCGAAATAGGCGAGCTATCGTTTTCTGTCAGTACTGCCCACTTGGAGGCTTTGCTAGACCATCGACTGACCTGGGCAGAGGCATTGTATGGAGGCACGAGAAAGTGAAGGTTGTTGTCCTTCAAGATCGACTGGAGCAAGGGGTACAGGTTTTGAATGCGGAAGGCACCTAAGCCAAGTCGTGTCAGTATAATAGCTACCGTCCGCATCGTCCGTGTTCCGTACCGTAGTTCGCACCAAAAGCCTCGACGGCCTTCGTGGCTTCACCGGAAAAGTATAGAGTCCAGGCCTCGTTCGTTTTCTGGTTTGCAAGCTTTCCCCGCTGCACCGCAACTTCTTCTTGGCCAGTCACAGACTGGCCGTCGAAGATGAAGAACGGGATGATCTTGTGCGCTTTCCATTGCTCAATGTCGGCTCGGAGGTGGAACTCGATGCCGGTCATGCCACCCAGCGCGGGCAGAAGTGGCTCGTGGAAATGGGGACTCTCGAGGAAAAGCTGGAGGTAGTACGTCGCATCAATGGCTATCGCACAGTCCTCGAGCTCGGAGACATCGTGGGACCTGGGTCATGAGAAATTTAGTTGGCAGGATCCCAACTTCGGGGGCGGGTTGAACTTACATCGCATGGCCATTGGTCCAGGCGTCCTCCACAAGGCCTTTCATTCTGGGTCAGTAATATCCAAGAAACAGCTCGTGAAATATGAAGTCGGGACGCCGAGTTGCAAGGGCAGGGTTGAGGAGCGGGAGTGTCCGGTTGCCGTCGATCGCAGTTTGAGGCCAGGTGGTGTGTGGTGTAACATAGACGAGACGAGCTCGAAGTGCAAGCTTTCGAGATCCTGGTGACGACGAGTAGCCACAGAGCTCCCTTCCTCGTTGGGCGACCGAACTTTGATTCTCGTAGGATGCCCACTCTGGCGGGAAACCGTTTGCTTCTGGGCGCGAGACGGGTCGAGGCGGGTATGACGCAGGTAGCCTTCAAGGCATGTGACGAGAAGACGAGGCTCCGGACAGGGCACAAAATGCAGCAGAGGGCGCGCGCATGGAGGGAACGAAGTTGTTCAAGTGCAGAAGAAAATGGCGGACTCACTAGGCATGTTGTCGGACCTTGCGCGACCACGAGGAAGCTCGTCGAGCTCGAGTTGACAACGAACCGTTTGGGGGTGAGGGACGGGGGGTGGAGCTTTGGGTCGCGAGATCTCTCAGGAGAGGCAAGGAGGTCGGACAGGGTCTGCCGGAAGTTCAAATGACTTCTGAAGGAATGACTGAGCTTGTCATGAAAAAAAGGAAGGCCACAGGAAGGCCAATGACACTGACAAGCGTGTCTCGAACGAAGAGGGGAGCTTTGGAAAAGGCGCTGGCGAGGGGCGGTAGGTAAATTGGGAGAGTTTGGGGTTCAAGGACGCATGGTAGCGTCCAGGACCTTAGGTAAGACCAGTAGGTGCGAGGTACGGTACCGCTGTACAGACACGGGCAGGGCCCAGGGTGAGCGGGTTGGCAGATGGAACCCTTGGGTTTCGGGGTGCTAGCAACAGTACCTAGGGTTAGCGCCTGCCTTGAGTTACAGGTTGCAGTGCCGCCGCAGGTGCTGTCGGGTGGGGTTGACTTTTGTGGCGGTGTCCTCCATTGTGGCTTGCCGCGCAGGCGTCTGCACCTTACCTGTCTATCTGCCGACAAGTGAGTGACAACTCATCGTCGCAGTTGCTTCACACATCTTAAGCAGGCAGAAAGAATTCCTTCAGGCCTTTACTTCTTTCATGAACACTCCCTTATCTCGCTCTACCAACCAGAGCTTGTCTTGCGCTGTCCATCTAGCTCCAGAGAAAGACACCTCTTCGACAGCTTGGAGACCCTAGAAGCATAAACACACAAAAGACAGGCATCCGAGACCGCGTTTCGGTCCCATTTTCCAATAGCAACAGGCGCCACTCCGTGTTCCAGCCACTCGAAGCTTCTTTCCATTGAAGCGACCTTGCAGCGGCTCCGTCCCCGCCTGTCCCGATCCCCGCTCTTGTCGGATGCATTCGCGCGTCTTTGCAGTCAGGGATGTGGGATGCAACCTCCTTCTTGAGCGCGTCCTTCCAACCCTTGCAGATGGATGCCGCAGATATTCTGTACTTGGTATTTGGTCTGACGACTTCTAACTCTGTGAGGTACTGGCATCGAGTGATATCAAGATAGTAACGTGAGCTAACTGAAGGGGTCCTTGACTTCCCTAGACCCATTTCGACTTGCTACCAAGGGCAGTTGGACTTTTTCACTGCCAACTCGCCCAACTACTCGATCAGTGACTGCCTGTGTCGCTGACAGCACACATTGACACTGGTATTCTATGGGTCAGTAGCTAGCATTTCCATTCATAACATGTCCTCGGTGTAGACCTTACGGAAGTAGCCTGTGGCATGTCAACGGACCAGAATTTGGCCCATGCCAAGGTCAATTGCTCGCAGCTCAAGCTTTGTGCTACCAACCTGCTGCATCCCAGCAACCCGCCATTCAGTTGATTGCCGGCTCAGGGTTCAGCTTGGAACAAGAGCAGCCCAGTGAGTAGGCCGACAAGAAGCCAAGACAACTCTGCCTCAATTGTCATCTGCATCACTGGAAATACATTGTATCATGACTAACCTCGTCGCAACAGCTCGAGCTGCGATTTCTGGCTTTTCGCCTGGTCTGATTGGACAGCCATCCCAATAGAGACAGCTACTGTCATATTGAGTTTGCTTAACCTCCCACGCCTCCTTATCTGAATAATACTTCTTCACGTTTCACCCCGCACATCGAATATGCAGCACATCTTGATCTTGTGCCTCGTCACGTCCAAAGGCAACCAGCCGCTCAGAGGAGTACGGCGGTAACACTCTAGCTCACGAGATTCTGGCTGCCTCTCGAAACAGACCCATTCTCATGTCCGCTATCAAAAGCTGCGTAATAGACATTACACAAGTCGCCCGGCCCCGTCTCAAGCGGTCCTATCCGCCCCTCCACACTCATCATCCCACCCTTATCGCTTATCGCATCCCACTTCGCGCGAGTTCGGGTGAACCTCGCCCCTCCAAGTGCGCCGCTCGCTCACTTTCATAATTCGCCTTGTTCTTCTCTCTCATCTCTCCTCTTGTGAAGGCGAATAAGCCAAAGAAAAAGCAGCAGATATGGCCCCCAACGCGAACATCCCCATCATCGACATCGCCGCGCCTGGCGTCGACAGGGCCGCCATCGCGCGGCAGCTTGTCGATGCCGCGGTTGAGCACGGCTTCATTTACATCCGCAATACCGGCAAGTACATCAACCTCGGCGACATCGATGCTGCCTTTGACTTGGTAAGAAATCGTAAACCGCCTTGAATTCATTGCTTGACTGACATGCCCAAAATAGTCGAAGAAGCTCTTCAAGGCTCCCGTAGAAGAAAAGGCTGCCTGCACCATTCAGCAGAACAACCGTGGTTGGTCTGGGATGCACTCTGAGACCTTGGACCCTAAGAACCAAAGGGCAAGTAGATTAAACCCGGCCCAGACATTTTCGTAAAACTAGTACTAACACTTGCCACAGGTCGGAGACTACAAGGAGTGCGTTTCCCCATCGCTTCATCGATATGCACCCGAAGACGACTAACATGACTTAGAGCCTTTAACTTTGGCGAATTCAAAGACTCCAAAGCCCAGCAACCCCTGCCCCCAACAATCCAGCCCGATGAGCCCTTCCTGAACTCCTTCAGAGACCAGTGCCACGCCCTCTGCCTCGAGCTCCTCAATCTCCTCGGCATCGGCCTCGAAGTCGACCCGCCAACCTTCTTCTCCGCCGCCCACCTCCGCGAAAAGGGCGACTCGGGCACCATCCTCCGCATGCTCTACTACCCGCCCTCCTCCGCGACCTCCTCCTCCCCTGACGACGTCCGCGCCGGCGCCCACTCGGACTACGGCTCCCTGACCCTGCTATTCCGCCTGCGCGGCCAGGCCGGCCTCGAGATCCTGACCCGCGAGAACACGTGGGCCCCTGTGCCCGTGACGCCGCCCGGGACCGAGGCCGACGCGCTCCCGCCCATCCTGATCAACATCGGCGACCTGCTGTCGTACTGGACCAACGGCATGTTCCGCAGCACGGTGCACAGGGTCGTCTTCGGCGGCGAGGGCGCGCCCGGCGAGACGGACACGGGGCCGAGGTACTCGATGGCCTTCTTCTGCCACCCCGTCGGATCCGTCACCCTGGACCCGGTGCCGAGCGAGAGGGTGAAGCAGTTCGTCGCGCCGGAGGGCACGCCGCACGCGAACCCGTACGCGGAGAGGAAGGTCATGACTGCTGATGAGCATCTGTTCATGAGGCTGAGGGAGAGCTACAAGGGCCTGTATAAAGAGGAGGAGACAAAAGCATAGACCAAGCCATGGGAGCTTGATCAAGAGATTTTTGCAAAACGTCGTGTCTCATTATGTACGATGCGTGATGTATGCCGTGACTACTCATGTACTCATACAGAAAAACAAATCCTCCGCTATGCTAGATTAAGGCCTAGACCAGTCCGACGAACCACTTGCGCTTCGGGTCAGGAGGTTGATCAGACAGCGCCTTTGATCCCCTGAGCACTCTCTCCAATGCAGTAACATCCTCCAATAAGCGCCAATCGTACACCTCAACCCACTCGCGCTTCCCGCTGGGAAAGTATTGCGGGCTGTCCTCCGCCCGTTTCATGAATTCTCTGGTGGCTTCCTTGCGATTATGCTCGACGAAGCAGATCTTGCGGGTGCGGTTCTTCTTTGACTGTGAGCACGCCGGGATGCTGCTCCAATGGTTGAGATCTGCGGTCCATTCGTGGATGCCGTGGGACGGAAGCAGGTTTTCGGCGACCCACGGTTGGTGGGCGATACAGGGAGAGAGGAGGGCGATGCGCTTTTCTGCGAGGAGACAGTGGCTGCCTGCATATTCGCATGCCGTGGTGGTAGGAGACGGCTGGGGCGGAGGCGGCATTTCGGTTCGTTCGTTCGAGCTATGTGCCTGAGGGGCTGCATTCTCTGCGGCTGGGGCTTGGGCACCGCCAGACGAAGGCGGCGTCGGGTTCGGAGGCATCGCAGCTGCTTCAACGGGCTTTGGGAATGCCGCCTGTTGAGAAGCCCGAGGTGAGGGAGCGGTTCGGTTGGCGCTCACTTCTCCGAGTGGCAGGCGACTTTGCTGAAGAGCAGGTTTTTGCTTGGCCAAGCAAGGGTCTGAACAAACCCTCGATCGCTTGTTCTCGCGGGCAACAGAATGATGGTTTTCTTGCGCCCGCTTATTGGCTTTGGACGACGTCTCGGCAGTAACGATGTGGGCAGCTGGCTTGGTAGTCTTGCCTGCAATGCTTTCAGGAGCAGAAGACGTCGGTGGAGTGACGACAGCAGGCTCTGCCACCTCCAGCAAGGCTGGGAGGGATCGGCGATTGATCAGTGGACTTTCCGCGCGAGGAGCTGGCGAAGTTGATGGTCGAACGGAGGACGTGCGGGAAGTTGCCATGAGAGAGGTAGTCGTCGACTGGCTGATAGCGTCGACAGGAATGCCGCGTGGGTCTGCGCCTTCCAGCGTAGCGATCCAGCCAAGCATCTCCTGGCTGTCCTCCATTGGTGGTGTGGTTGTAGCGTCCTCAGCTACCTTCTGTAGCTCCGAAAAAGAGATGGTGTCGATGAAGGATCTGTCAAAGTGAACCTTGGATACCTGGGGAAACCTTGGCTGCCAGAAGCCAGTGTTTCCCTCCTTATCAAACGAGAAACAACGGACGTCGAACACTAAAGGCTCCGTGAAGACCACACTTGGCATCTTTTGTTGCGCAATGCCTGGAGCAATATCCAAGATCAGCGCATCATTGTCGTCAAAGGCCACAGGCATAGGCCTGCCATAGGTCACCACCGTCTTGAGCATGGTCTCGTCCAGCTCTACCTGGTGAACCACTGTGAATCTTGGTCTGGCCTGAAACCTCTGAACATCTTCTTTGTTGTCGAGACAACCAAGGTAGAAGTGTGTCCACTTGAGATTCGGGATGCTGTAGCATTTGGCTTTGTCCGGGTCGTAACGAGCTGCCACCACAGCAAAGTCGCCCACATCACCAAAGCTGCCAATGTACTCCTTCTTTAGCTTGATGGGGCAACCGGAAAATGGGCGACGATTTTCACTGAAGTCGAAGTAGGGGTCGTCGGGCTTCAAGACCAAGCCTTCATCTCGTGCTGTTATCGACTTGGCGAATGCCTTTCTCAAGTGGGATGCAGCCATGGGCTGGCTGAAGGAAATAACTTGGCGTTCTACCAGCTCAGCGAATCCCTCTCGGCAGGTGACCAAATCAGTCAGACGCTTGAACCGCTCGCTGTGCCGGACTCCAAGCAGTGATTCTCCGTCAACAAGAAGGACGTCGTAGTAGACGATCATCAAGTGCTCGTAGTGATGTCGTCTATGCCAGTCAGACTACAAGTTCTGTCTGGGAAGTGGAGTACTTACTGTGAGTCGGCCTCTGTGTGCAGAAAGCTCCCAGACCGAGACACATATTTTCGTATCTTATGAAATGGAAGAATCTTTTGTTCCTATGCAATGTAAGTAGGTGTAGATTTGACGGATAATATATGCATACTTTATCACTGTAGACGACTAGCTCGCCCTCTAGAATGCATCCCTTTGAAAACTTGCAGTCGAGCTTTCCGATGTTGAGGGAATCGCGAATTGCCCTATTGCCATTAGCCCACGTAAACGCGGCGAGGAGATCATCAACGTACCCATGCAATGCTGCGCGATCTGATGTGCTGTCTTTGCCGCTCTTGGAAAAGATCTGAATACACTTGTATCCCTTGCTCAGATCTATGTGGATCTGGCAATATTCCCCATCAACCTTCTTTTCACAACTCATCTGACCATGGCCGATTTTCATGCAGTGTTTGATGCTGCGTCCCTTGAGCCACGACTGTCTCCCCACCTTGACACCCAGAACAGGCGTCAGATGCTTCAACAAATTCTCGCGTCTTTTTCGTCCTGTCTCGTCGCGGAGATAAGGGTCGTTCCTCAACTTTTGACGAAGAGACAGAGCCGCGGAGAAGTCATCTTGGACTCTTAGAATCATAGGGAGCAACGGATCGTAGCTGTAATAGACGTGTCTGGGGTCGAATACGACAGGCTGGTAGTTTTTGAGGATGAGACGAGTCAGCCACTTGGCTTCCCTGGCGTTCAGGCGAAGGTACAAGCTGGAAAGAAGCTCATCTCGGTCGCGCGCGCTGCTCGGTCGGAGCTGCGATGCCTGAACTGCAGGAGAACTGAATCTGCACCTGGCGGCGAGGCTATTGAGAGTTGTGTCGATCTCCTCAACAGTAATAGGATTCGCAGCGTTGTAGCATGGGCTCGGCTGTGTGGATGTTAGAATGGACAGGTTCTCAGACACACGCATCATCCAAAGCCGGGTAGCTCAATAGGGACATCCGATAACATACTGTTTCTTTGAAAATGTTCTCGATACAATCAGCCAGATCCAGCCCTAGGCCGGGCTCTTTGAACCGCTTCATGTCTTTCACACGCGACTGGCCGAGGATCAGCACCCGTCCGACGATGCCACATAGCGTGTCGGCCTGAATGCCGTATACACGATCAGTACGCTTCTCCGGTAGGAGCGTAGAAAATAGAGCGGAGGCACTGTTTCCTGAGTCGTCGATCCGATGGCGGTGTTGCTTGAACCAGTTGGTCACGCGTTCGTTGACCTTGGTAGGATCGGAATTGCATTGTCTATGAGCCTGTTCTAAAAGGTCGCAAATAAGAAGGAAAGGAAACGGCATCGTGACAGGTTGACCATTGTAAAGATGAACCGCTTTAACGCAGACGAGGTCTGATGAGAAGAAGACCTTGGTGTGAGAAAATTAACCACCAGCCAACTCACGTTATAAGAGTAGGCAACCACGGCGAGCTTTCCCCGGTGACAGCCCGCGAGAGTGAAGCTGATTGCCTCAGGTGAATGATCGAATGGCGATTTCCGGTTTGGGTGGCCGCTTCCAGCTTAGGTCAGATGCTGTGCCTCGTGAGAGCTTCATGCACTGTCTGTCGGATGAAGAAGTCGCGTCCGTCACGCGTCTCGGTGGTACGCGCCGTAAGTACCGTTGGGTCCAGTGGAGGGCCTCCACCGGCCGGGCTCGATTTCAATTGCAATCGCAATTGCAGGTGCTCTGTGTGGTGCGACTGTGCATCCGATCGTCCGCTGGATTAATGCGTGCACAAAAAGCTATGCACAGCTTCAGCCAGAGCAGGTGCGGCAGACGTTCTGGAATGGGCAGAAACCAGAAGCAGCGCGTGAGATGGGAAGAATGTCGCAGCCATGACAGGCAATCATGTGGGGCCCGATGGGATTTGGGGAAACAGACTGCAACTCTGATTGGACACTAATTTCTGGGAAATTGTGAAATTGGGGGCTCTCCACGCAGGCCACGGGTCATCCCAGCTGTTTCCTGCGTACCCTTGCGGGCCCTGGATTCGCGACCAGGCAGTGCTGGCCAAGCTAGCATCTTAGTTGGCGCTGCTAAGAACTGGTGAAGAAGCTAAGGTACTAACGACTGCTAGCAAACTGTCAGCAAACCCTCCAGACTGTGCGCCTACGTACGACTCGGAAGGAGAAAAAAAAAAAGTGCCTCGGGCCATTTTACCAAGACTTCCCCGTCCGGCACCATCATGGCGCCGTCAGGACCGGCTGCACGTCGCACGCCTGTTGCCGGGGCGCCCATCGGTTCCTGACTGTTTCTGACTGTTTCTGACTCCTTGCAGCAGGAGCCGCAGTTTCTTACAGGCTGCCCACGGACAATGGTTGCACGCTGCAGCAAGCCCCTGAGCAACGTCCAACTCTCTTAGCCCGGCGGATCGGCGCCGATGCAAACGCACGACTTGAATCTGGTGGTCATGGACTTGGTCTTTATGACTCTCGAGTCTCGACTTCCATTGAGGGTGTGGGCCACCGGTTTCCGTGGACAATGGTTCGTTCGTTTCGTCTTGTTGATCGGAGAAGGCGGACGCCAAAACAACAGGAAACATGTGCCAATGAGATCTGGGCTGGATTTTGACAACAAGCCGCCATGGCCAGGTAGCCTGCCATTGCCCATGACTGGTGTCTCATGCAGCTTCAAGCTGTGAAAACAAAAAGAGGGGGGTGGTGTTCGTCCAGCAGGGTCTATGGATGTAAATAATGCGAGTGCAATAGGCAAAAAGCAATGCGAATCGCACTGCCAAACCACCAGATGTCCGTCATCAACAGCCCAGGTCAGACCACATGCTCCGGTTCCCATCCCAACAACCAGGCCCGTAGCCAACAAAAAAGAGTCAAATGACTGACTAGCTGCTGCACGTCTTCTGCGACATCCGTACAGATACACAGCATTCACTCTCTCACTCTCACTCGTCGTTCGACATCTGCATCCGCATCTGGCCTACCTCGATCTGATCCAATATCCTTCTTCCCTTTTTGCTGCCCAATCCCACTGTCAACCAACCACACCCATCTTTCCTTCTTTCCCACCTGGTTTCGAATTGTCGCAGAATCTTGCGTCCATCATCGATCCCGCCTCCTCGTCATTGGCTCCCCGCCTCCCGTTGCTGCTGCTACCGGCGCTGTCGGTCTCGACACTTTATTACACCTTACTCAGACATACAGACGACCGTTGCCGTCCATCCCATCCCGCCTGCACCTTTGCACCTTTCGCTCGTCAATTCTCGTCCGAACTCACGGCCTTTGCCCTTCTCTTACCTCGTCGTTCCTTGCTCATACCTTACCTCATACTCTGGGTCCTGCCATCGGTCTCCTTGGCTACCCCTGCATGAACCCCAGGACGACCACGTCGACTACGGATACCAACATCAAAGTTCGGACGCACCACCAAGGACTCACTGCCGAACCGATCCTAGGCCTTTTACCGCGTACTGTCAACAACACAAGCAAAGCACACAGGCATCAAGCAATCCAATCCAGACCGGTTCAGTCCACACTGTGAACTGTCCATCCCACACAAATCAAGAAAAAAAAAAGATAACAGCATTGACGCCTCGGAGTCACCATCATCCACTGGCAATCCAAGGGCCCCGACTCGCCTCTCCCAGTCGCAATTCCTTCTCTCATCTCGTCCTCTCCTGTCCGTCACAATCTTTACAGCAACACCACAGTTCCCTTCTCCATTTCCAGTCCTTGTCGTTTCTCGAACTGGGAACCTGTGCCCGAATCCATCATTCGAGCCCCCCAAGGTACGGCAAGCAGGCGAGATAAAAGATTCCACAGCGGCCGCACCCACTGGTTGACGAGCTTGAACTACCCTACCGCCCCCTATCTGAGCAGAAAATACCCTCGTCCGCCACGCCAGCTCAGCCAATCTCGCTGTCCAATCGTGGCATCCATTGCGCCTGCAACCCTCATTCAATCACCCCCCGACCAGACCCAGAGAGGACTCGACGAGGTCTGGTTCCTGAACCTGGGCCACACACCCCCGAAAGCCCCCCGTCCCCATCGACAAGACCCATTGCAAGTCCCAGACCCAGAAGAGACCAGACCCCCCAACCCCGTCTCTTGCTCCGGTTCCTGCTAATCGCTGCTATCTGCTGGGGCGTTTCTCGCTTGCTTTTGGCTGGCTGCACTGCAACAACAAACACGGCCTGTCAATAATGACCCTCTTTCCACCCTCTCCATGACAGCCATTTTCCTACTACAAATCTGCTTCGTCGCTACTGTTTCTCGCACTCTCTTGAATGACCACCAAAAACACCTAAACACATACAAGGCTGTCGTCGCCAGAAGAACGAATTCCGCTCACTCCTCCACCGCCTGGAGACAAAGGCACAACCGGAAGGCCAGTAACGCCTCTCCCTCCCATTCTTTGCTTAAGCGCCGCCGGTCATACAACATCGCCAACGCTCAATTCTTCCGGGAGGCATCACGCAATCGTTCTGCTCGTGCTGAGATGCAGAGCACCCACGAGATTCGCTGTCGTTCCTCTTCTGTGGTCGAGCGCCCGCCGGCGGACTCCCCGGCCACTACCACGACGGCTTTTACACCGCAACCCTCACTGCCCCCGAGACCTACCCAATTCAAGCCGTCAGAGATGCACGTCGAGACTCTGATAGGAGAGATGGAGGAAGCACCAGGGGCCATGACACCGCCTCCCCCAACCCCCTCGACACAAGACCGCCTTAACCGCGCGGCGCGTTCGAATTCCAGTGCCTCTCGAAACACCAATCGACTATCGCTTACACTGCCAATCGCTCCGCCGACCAGCGACCCTTCAAGGCCAGCGTCAGTTACAACCGCATCGTATCCTCCCACGCCCGCCGACACGTCGGCGGTCACCTCACCGTCAGACCCCAATGACTTCATCATTGCGATAGCAGCGCAAGAACGACGGGTATTGGAGATTCGCGAGGAGTTGGCGCGTGCGGAAGCTGAATTGGCGAAATTGAAGCATGACTGGACTGCCCAGTCAGCCCGGAGGAAGAGGGATCTGCCGCAGCGCCCATTGGCGCCCCAATTTGAGCCGTCGCTATTAGACGATGATGAGGCAGCTTCCAGACGAAGTGTCGAGCTGGATAGAAGGAAGGCGCTTCTGAGGGACTTGCAGGGACAGACGGGCCCCCGAGAATACAGACGAAGAGTCCTTCGTGGCGGGCACACGCGGACTCTGTCATTACTTTCGCCGACGAAGCCGGAAGGCTTCGCGGTGCACGAAGACACCTCCAGTGTCAAGTCCATGGAGCTTCGTTCCCCGGTCATGACCCCTACCCATCCTGCTCTCCCTAAGAGGGCTTCCTGGCAGCCGCGCACTTACAACACCGCTACACCTGGAGTGAAGCAGATGGCCCAAGACTTCAGGGTAGGACTCTGGAGCTTCGTGGAGGACATCCGACAAGCCACCGTTGGCGACGAGCCGATTCATGGCATTTCCCGTCCTGGCTCGACCGATCCCACGGGGAAAAGAGTCGGCTCGTTCGGCGACCAGGACACGATCAGGGCCCTCAACTCTCGCCCCAGAGTCCCATTGAGCTCCGCTTTCGACTCGCCGATCGACACCCCAAGCAAGTCGTCCAAGCCGTTGCAGGAACGTCCGAACCCGAAGCCGGCGACGAAGTCTACGACCAAAGCAAAGCACTTCTCGTGGACGCCGTTGACCTTTGACTCTTTTGACGATGACTGGTCGAATTGGGATTCGCCCGTGGTTTCTTCGGCCAAGTCCGCTCGCTGGAGCGGCTCGACCGTCGGCGGCGCGGAGGGACTTGCGTCCATGTCTGAGAACAACGATGAGAATGTGACTCCACTGTAAGCAACTCACCAACGGCCTCATCCCCCCACTGTACTGAGACATCCGTCCACAGCAAGAAGAAGATGCCCATCACCGTTGACACTTCGGCCCGGTCTGACTCCCGCCCCGAGTCGGCTCTCTTGTCGCCTACCCAGCTCGGGGAGCTTCTGCCCACCGTAGTGAACAAACTCTCACCTGGCAACCTCAAGCGTACCGCCAACAACCTCATGGACGAATGGGAAAAGAGCTTGTCCCCGCCGCGACAGCAGCAAGACGAAGAGGAACAGCTGATCGATTTCCGGGAGACCACAGCCTGATCTGCGAAAGACTGGGCAAACGAACAGCAGGCCCTCACACCCAAGCGGATGCATTTGCATCGTACATGAAGAAATTCAGCACCGTACATATCCGAGCACGTCGCATGGATCACATTCAAAAGTATAGATAAAAGTACCAACTGGACCGGATTGCGCAAAACGGCCAGAAGAGCGGACAGGTTATTCCGCCGAACATAGACAACGGGTGGACAACACAAGCAAGAGGGGGAGGTGATGAAGGGGCCATGAAATAAGGGCAGCCCAGAAGCTGCTATTGGTTATAAGTCGACAAGACTTGCCAGGATAATGAAGCTCTGCTAAGGGAGCTTATATCGGCGTATGTCTGGATGGCAGTCTAACAGTCATTGACGATGATGAGCTGTTGGATGATGGCATAATGACGATATTAATGAATGTACGAACGCAAGTATTTCGTGCTTTTGGAGGGGAATGAAAGAACCAGCGTTTGTGCGTCTGGCTGGTTTGCTGTTTCTCGTAGTTGTCTGTCAGACACGTCCAGTCATGAGAAACGTTTCGAAGAACAGCCTGTTTTACCCACGTAGTTAGATTTGAATAGTAGTAACTGTTTATGACTGCAATCTGTGCTCTGCTCTCTTTTGGCTCCAATGACCAATGGGACTTGCGATGAGGTGTTGCTTATCATGGTGATGTTTGACAAGCCACACCTGTGAAATGGCGGGTGGTCGTTGAAAAGCCGGTCTCAGGGTCAACGGTGCGGAGAACGGGTGTGTTTGGGGAGCATTTCGTGGCAGTGCAGCTTTCGCAAGCCTGACCTTGACCGCGACCTGAGGTGCAGGCTTTCGCTTGGCGGATCGCTGGGTTGCTGCGGTGTAATTGTCGACTGGCTCCCTGGACAAAGGCCGTCGTCTGGTGTCAATTACACTTTTTGGGACTCCCGTCGCGCTCGTTGCTTTCAACTCAAACCAGAGACACAACAAGCTACATCGCCATTCACAGAAAGGGAAACAAGAAAACATCAAAACTTTTTGAACCCCTGAAATCAAAGTGAATGCAGGTCGGATTCCGCCCGAGGCTGCGGGCTCGGCCTTCTCTGGTCGAGTTACTGGCCCGGGGCAAGCAACAAGACGACGATGGTTTGTCGTCTTCGCCGGTGTCACCTTACATCCCTCCAGCTGCTTCGGTGACGGCCGCTGGCACTGGCGGCTCAGGAACCTACTTGCAGGTCCCAGGCGAGCTGGATCTGGATGTGGACTTGTTGGACGTGGACGCTATAGGCGCTGGCGGTCCTTCAGCGACAGGAGGCGGCGGCCTTAACACTGACACAGCAGGCACGGGCCCCGGTCATACATCATCGGGTCCACTCTCGCATGCACTACGTGAGGCGTGGGCTGGCCGCACCAATCCCATTGCCAGCTGGAGTGCCCCGGCCAGACATGCACGGGAGCCGCAGCCGCACCGAAGCAGCCAAGTGGACGTCGAAGCTCTGGCAATAGCTTCTGCTCAACCTCTACCATCATCTCCTCCAACAACACCTCGTCAAACGCCATCCAACCCTCCCTCCCCTTCAACCCCGGACGCTCTCCCCGCATCGACCGACCTTCTTCCTGTGACGATAATTCACGAGCCGAGCCCTGCTCGCGTCCAAACGTCCACCATGCCTCCTGTAAGCACCCCCGAATCCGTTGTCTCTTGTTATGGTGATGCGGCATATGCCTGCCCCACCGGCCCGACCTCGATCGCAGAAGCTGACCAACGCCCCAGAAGCAGAAGAAAGACAGCAAGGACGATGAGTCTCACACCGGTCAGTGACCACGGTCATTTCCAATTATCGATGACAGCTTGAACTGACCTCCTCTTGCAGGCAAGATCTTCTCGGTCTCTGGGTACGATCGAAGCTCCCCCGATTCGCCCCCTTCCCCCGATCTACCGCGCTCGACGACTAACCATATCCTAGACCCGTCATTGTCGCCGAGGACATGATTGGTGTTGCCATGTACGAGTTGGTAGGTCGCATCGCTCGGATGGATGCTGGGAATGAATGTCTGACAATGCGCAGGTCAGAGTCGGTCACGATAACCTGGTCGGTGAAGTCATTCGTATCAATGGCGACCAATGCACAATTCAGGTCTACGAGGAGACTGGTGGGTATATGGCGCACGACACCTCAAAGTACATTCTACTGACAAATCGCAGCTGGTGTCACTGTCGGTGACCCCGTCGTTCGCACCGGAAAGCCTCTGTCCGTCGAGCTTGGCCCCGGTCTGCTCAACGGTATCTACGACGGTATTCAGAGACCCCTCGAGAAGATTAGCGAAATGTCCAAGACCATTTACATCCCTCGCGGTATCGCTGTTCCCGCCCTCGACCGTACGAAGAAGTGGGAATTCGTTCCCTCCCTGAAGGTTGGCGACCACATCTCTGGTGGTGACGTTTGGGGTACCGTCAACGAGAACTCCTTCATTTCCACCCACAGAATCCTGTTCCCTCCCCGCGCTCGCGGTACCATTACCAAGATCGCCAGCAAGGGCAGTTACACTGTTGAGGAGAACCTCCTCGAGGTCGAGTTCGACGGCAAGAAGACCGACTACCCCATGATGCAGTCGTGGCCTGTGCGAGTTCCCCGTCCGACCACCGAGAAGCTTCAGGCAAACGAGCCCTTCGTCGTCGGTCAGAGAGTGCTGGACGCTCTGTTCCCCGGTGTCCAGGGTGGTACCGTTGCCATTCCTGGTGCTTTCGGTTGCGGCAAGACTGTCATTAGTCAGTCTGTGTCCAAGTTCTCCAACAGCGATGTCATCGTCTACGTTGGATGCGGTGAGCGCGGTAACGAGATGGCCGAAGTCTTGAAGGATTTCCCTGAGCTCACGATTGAGGTCGACGGCCGCAAGGAGCCCATCATGAAGCGCACCACCCTTATCGCCAACACCTCCAACATGCCTGTCGCTGCCCGTGAGGCTTCCATTTACACTGGTATCACCGTCGCCGAGTACTTCCGTGATCAGGGTCTGAACGTCGCCATGATGGCTGACTCCTCTTCTCGATGGGCCGAGGCTCTTCGTGAAATTTCCGGTCGTTTGGGAGAGATGCCTGCTGACCAAGGTTTCCCTGCTTACCTCGGTGCCAAGCTCGCCAGTTTCTACGAGCGTGCCGGCCGTGTCAAGTCTCTTGGTTCCCCTGAGCGCCATGGCAGTGTCAGCATTGTCGGTGCCGTCAGTCCCCCTGGTGGTGATTTCTCCGATCCCGTCACGACATCCACCCTCGGTATCGTACAAGTTTTCTGGGGTCTCGACAAGAAGCTCGCCCAGCGCAAGCATTTCCCCTCCATCAACACCTCGCTCAGTTACTCCAAGTACACCATGGTCCTCGACAAGTGGTACGAGAAGGAGTACCCCGAGTTCCCCCGCTTGCGTGACCGCATCAAGCAGCTCTTGTCCGACTCCGAGGAGCTTGACCAGGTCGTGCAGCTGGTCGGAAAGAGTGCGCTGTCTGACCCCGACAAGATCACTCTGGATATCGCCGCTCTCCTGAAGGAAGACTTTTTGCAGCAGAACGGTTACTCAGACTACGACCAGTTCTGCCCTCTGTGGAAGACTGAGTGGATGATGAAGTTGATGGTCGGTTTCCACGACGAGGCGCAGAAGGCCATTGCCCAGGGACAGAGCTGGGCCAAGGTTCGTGAGGCCACCTCCGACCTGCAGTCCAAGCTGCGTCAACTCAAGTTCGAGGTTCCCACCGACGGCGAGGAGGTCATTACTAAGAAGGTGAGTCAATGTTGTACGGAACACACCCATGCATCCTTAGCTAACCTTTTGCGCAGTACGAGGAGATCCAGCAGCAAATGTTGGACAAGTTTGCCTCTGTTGTTGACGAGTAAGCGCTGCAAGGCGTTGGGTAATATCCTGTTTTGTCAAAGTCTCCCGCGTCGCGCTGTAGGGTATGTCTGGGGTCCAATAGATGAGTCTGGGGCGATGGCATCCTGCATGGTGGTTCCTCTTTTCGTAGTCTCGGCTAGTATATCACATCTGTATATGATCCTAACTGTGATTTTCATGCTCTACGATGATGGTGACGAGCGCGATATCACGACGAGCACGCAATATCTGCCGGTGTCATCGACACCAGGCATATCAGCCACTCCCATCTCACCAAGACCGGCGTTGATCCGATTCTCCTGGCGGAGAGCGTCAAGGTAGGCCAGCAAGAGCCATTAAGCCTAGGCCTTTGCTGTACTTGAACATTTACAGTGAACCGAGCCATGATTCTCGGACATTGCTTGGTCACTTATAATTCTCAATGGGGATGAGGTCACCTGCCTCTTTGCAAGATCACAGGTGTGGTTGGTTGTTGTAGGGAACCTTGGGAGTAGCAAACTAGCGCACGGACCCTCCGGCCCACACTCCCGCACAGCGGTTGACCGGCCGGTCCATCGGAGCAAGTTCTCACTATCACCTTAACAACCACATCCAATATTACCCAAGTGCCATATGAGCCCACCGCATTGCTCAACTCGACATTTGTTGAGATTGATTCCACGGCGGATACATCTGAATTTCTCTCCAGCACAGTCGAGAAAACCCCAACTTAAAGTTCTCGGGGCCTTAGACGTCACATTGAGCTCTGGGTTCTCACTCACCACTCATCGCACCTACACCACAACCCATACCCTCTGCCGTCGGCCGGCTCCTTCACAACCAACACCAACCCCCAAAATGTCGGACGACCTCAAAGACGAGATCGAAGTCATAAACTCAATCTACGGAAACGGCACCCTCTCCCCTGCCACCCCGCCAGACTACATCCTCGCCCTGCCCTCCGCCTCCTCCCTCACCCTCCGCCTCACAGACTCGTACCCCTCCGTCCCGCCACAGGTCCTCGGCACCCACAGCGCCGGCGAGGGCGCGCCCCGCGGCGCCGCCGCCCGCGACCTCGCCCTCTTCCGCGACGCCATCGCCACCGTCTACCAGCCCGGCGCCGTCTGTCTCTTTGACGCGATAGAGGAGTACCAGCGGTGGGCCGAGGCCAGCGCAGAAGCTGAGGCCGCAGCGCGGAGCCCCTCCCCGGAAGCAGCAGACGAGTCCTCCTCAGCAGCAGCAGCAGCAGCGTATGAGGAGTCATCTGTGCCGGCGTACCTCCCGGAGGAGCCGCCGTGGGTGATCTCGGACCCCTTCGTGGAGCTCAAGTCCGTCTTCGTTGCGCGGGCGGCGCCAGTAACGAACCCTGAGCAGGCGGCGGGGTACGTGCAGCACCTGCTGGCGACGGATAAGAAGGCGCGGACGGCGACGCACAACATGACGGCGTGGCGGATCCGGGGCCCGAACGGGACGAGCTTCCAGGACTGCGACGACGACGGGGAGACGGCGGCGGGCGGGCGGCTGTTGCATCTTATGCAGCTCATGGACCTGTGGGACGTCATGGTCGTCGTGACGAGGTGGTACGGCGGGCAGAAGCTCGGCCCGCGGCGGTTCGCGTTGATTAACAGCTCGGCGAGGGATGCGTTTGTGAAGGCGGGCTGGGTCGAAGAGGCAGGGAAGAAGAAGGGCGGCAAGTAGAAAGGATGGATATTGGATAGGCATCAGCGAGTTATACTCTCGCAACAACAGCATTCAGATCATGAACAAACCACACCGAGGCCCGAGATGGGATCAAAGACAAACGAGATCGAAGCATCTCAAATTCAATCCGGACCGACACCAGCTATTCTCGCAAGACATACAAAGAGTTGGTATCTAACATCAGAGAGCCGCCGTCCTCCGCGAACGCCAACATGTCGAAGGAAATTTTCAAAATCAGATTGCCAGCCGCCGCCAGTCCATGCTAGTACAGTCATCCAACATCGTAAATCCCACCCCGAGAGTGTCGTAACATTTTTTGGTTCCCCCTATCTTTTGATTTCTTATGATCCGCCCAACAATGTTTTGGCAAACCCTTACCAATGCAGGCTGTTCCCCGGGCTGTGTTCATATGCTCAACCATGTCAGGCCTTGAACAGTTTCGGTTCAAGAATCTCAAGAGCGTGAATCGACTGTTCACACGAAAGAATGACGGCACCGGCTCGAGCGGTAGATAGATATGACAGTCCTGCGCTATCTCCGGTGCGCATGTCCTGCACAAGTGTACCGGCAACTCCGCAAACGATGCCAGTGGCTTCCAACGGAAGGCTCTCAAGATCCAGGAAGATGGGAGTGAGGTTCGACTTGGTGTCTCCTACGAGTGAATCACCAAAAAGACCGAGGAGGGACCTGTCCAGCAGCAGTGAGGGCGGGTCCTCCTGTGCGAGAGTGATGGATATAAAGCGCGGCCGCGCCGCCAGCGCCGAGATCATGGCGGTGTACAGCTTCGTGTCGATGTTGTCTAGCCAAGTCTGGCGATGGCCGTTGCCCGTCACCTGCCTACTCAGGGGCGGACGCTGGGTATGCGAGAACTCGCCTCCAAGTTGCGATGTCTCTCGGCCAGAGCACTGGACCAGGAGCAGGTCGTCTTCGACGTAAGGGGCGACGCTACGCTTCTTGAGCAAATCGAAGGTGCGCACCTGGAGCTCGGCGATGGTCGAGGGCGGTGGGGTCAGCGGAGGGCCGTTCTGGCTACCGCCGCGGGAGTGAACAGATGCGGCAGGGCTGACGAAGTTGGACTCGTTCTCGGCCAGCTCGAAACCGCGCGCCAGGAGGGCCTGAACGACAGTCTTCTTGTCCTTGGTCGGCACCAGGATGAAGTCGGAGTAGTAGGTGGTAATGAAGAAAATCGGGATTCCGGCGAGGGCCAGAGGCGAAGTCAGCTCCATGACGCGCCCGGCAGCGTCCATGCCTGCGCTGATGACGGAAAGGACGAGGTATGTGTCTTTGGATATTGAGACGGACTTGGCGAGGTCCTTGGGCAGGTCCTTGATGGCAGGCTCAAAGACATTCTTGGCCCAAGAGCTGTGGCAGACGATGGAGCACTCCATGGGAGTGACGCTGATGTTGAGGAAGCCATGCTGGCTTTCGGCATTGAGGCCTTCTAATTCATGTTCAGGCTCTCCTTTTGACGCCTTAAGGGTCTGGGTCTGTGGCAGGAGGACGCGGAGAATGGGCTGCAGCAAGGTTGAGTACAGATCGAGAGGAATGTGGATCAGAGTGTAGGTGCCGTCCTAGATCGTAATCGGTGTTAGTCCAAAGACCTCAACAATGGGCCCAGCAAGACGTTATGTCATGTATTCTTCTTGGTCCGGAAAGGGTACGGATGCAGCTCGTAGGTAGCGTCGCAGTGGTGGGGTAGGCATGAAGAGCCAGCCCCGCCTTTTTGGTGACTCTATCCAGAGCGCGGCATGGGCTGGTGTGAGTGTGTCTACTTACGAGAAACGAGACCTGGGCGTTCATGATGTCCCTGGCGCGCAAACTTCTGGCTCTTGAAGCCAAGAAGAAACCCTTTTTTACTTCCTCCTCGCTGACTTTCGAAACCCTTTATCTATGAATATGTGGGTGGTGGTCCAAGAAAAAAAAAAAAGGTCCGATGTCGATGCGCAGTAGGGCACAGACGTTGGCAGTTGCGCGTGCGGGAGGATATCGGAGGGGCCTCTCTGCCGGGTTCGGATCAGGCTCTCATAAGGCTGGCCGGTGCTCTTGGTGAGACTCAAAAGTCTCAGCGAGTGAGGGTTTGGGTAGCCGTTGCTGACAGGGAAACCGTCGTCTGTTGTGTTATCTCTGCTTGTATACAAGTTCTGTATGTCCGACGTGGAACCCAAGGTATGAACGGAAGACGTCGTGGAATCGGGAGGAGGATATCAAGCAAAAGAGCCAGGAAAAAGGAACAAGAGGACGGGACGGGAAAGGTTATGAAGGAGGGAAGGGGGAGAGAGGAATTAGGTTCATAAGGACCCCGGAGTTGCAAGCTAAGAGTTCCTAGGTGAGGTACCTACTATGTGAGGTAGGTAAGGTAAGGTAGGCAAGGCACCTCCAGGTAAGGCAAGGCGAGGCAGCTTCAAAGGTAATGGTGCGGAGAGGAGAGCGCTGCGGCGTGCGGCGTGCGGCGGCCGTCGATAATGGGACGCTAAGGCACGGGCACACCTCACTTGCCGGGGCTGGCCAAGCAAAAGCCCACATCAAGGAGAAAATAGAAAAAGCGCGAGAGGGCCAGGGAAAAACAGCTAGTGACGGAGAAAAAAACGTGGGCTTGCTTGCTTGCCTAGGGACTTTGCTTGGGTTGCAGATAACGTGAAGGAGTTGAACCAGCATCAGGTCTCTACGCGGTAGTTGTGTTGGCCGGGGCCCTTACACGTACAGCAGCAAGAGCGGGTAACAGCGCAGGCCCCTCTGAGGACCCTCGACTCCGCTTGAGTGGTTTGCGCCGAGATGGAGATTTTTCCTCTTTTTTTTTTTTTTTTTTTTTCTTTCCTTCCCAAAGACTCAGCGATGTGGGATGCTTGCTTTTTCTGTCCGAATGCATCACGCAGGACCACCTCGGTCAAGACGCGGTTGGCCGAGTCCGTACCAAACTCAGGATGGCCATGGCTGTCATACTGTATTTGCGCGAAGCCGCATTGGATTATCATTTTCCATGACGGAGCTCGTCACAAAAGCTTACCTCGTCGTTGATCATTGATGTGTATGCGTGCTATGTGCACCCGCAATTATTGTTCACCCTGCCAATGCTGAACCCAGGCAGACTGGTTCCTCCGGCTGCATGAAGGTGGGCAGCATGGCATGGCGGGGTCAAGCAGGGGATCGAGGAGAGAAGGCAAAGGGCAAAAAGCATTGGGGGTGGGAGGGATCCAGCCCATGATTGCATCTTTGATGGTGTGTGTCTCGTCAGCGCGCACACACGCACACGCACCTATCCCACGCACGAAGGGGGAAGCGAGAGCGATGCCTGGAGCACCACGATGGAAGGAGGAAGGGATCCCCTTTGGTGGTTTCACGACGTTATCTGGTTGCGGCAAGTGTGTTCTTGATCCGAGAAGGCTCCCCGGCCGCGCTGGAGATATCCGAATCAGTGTCTGTCCTCGGTCGTGAGGATGTAAGAGACGGCAACTCCAGCGGGCGCTTGAGTCAGGCACGCACCGATGCCCGGCTTCGTGTAAGTGGGCGATGGCAATTGAAGTTGAGCCGCTCTCTCTTTTCTCCACCGTCCGATCCTCCGTAGAGGTGAACGTGATGCCGAATTGAATACACATGTACGTGGAGTGCGTAGTGTTGCGTTGCGTTCTGGTGCCATGGCCTGGGCATCTAATCTGCAAACCAAAAGTAGAAAGGCGTGATTCCCCACGAAGATGATGCTGAGACGGAGGCGCGTGCTAGTCGAATCCCGTCATCCTGACGCCTTGACCGTGGCCGACTGACCTCTCCGTCCAGCCAAGGGAAGGAAGGCATCAACAAGCTCACCTCAGAGCTAAAGTGAATGATCGGAAACCTGGAAAGCAGAGGACGGAAAGGCCAGACGCAAGAAAGGGTTCAGTCGAAGGCCGTTTCGGGCGGCTTGCAGCAGACTAGTGAGACGGGAACGTGGGGGTTTCTTTGGCTGTGCGGTCTGCTTTACGAGCTTCGCAGTGGTCAGTCTCTTTTCAGCTTATTCGCACAGAGAGAGACACAGAGGGAGCGCGCTGTAGCATCATCTCCAAACCTGGTCTGAATCACCGACGCCACCGAGACAATGGGTCGCTGGCTAGCTAGGCATGTAGGTCCGGTAAGGTGATGACGGGAGCGCCTGCATCAGTGAAGCAACTGTCTGGAGAAAACCCCTTCCAGTCTGGCCTCCAGATTGGACATCTCATGAACCATGATGTAAGCCAGGCAACGTACCTGACAGAAGCTGCCGCCGGCAGGAGTACCCTCACCCCCTTCACCTTACCTCACCTCACCTGCCTCTACTTGCCTCACCTCAGCATTGCTACGCACTTGTCATCTCTCACTTCTCATCTCTCAACTGGGCATCACCACCACGGGAACAACACCGCTCAGTGCTCGCGGGCGCCACCGTCATTCATTGCCTGATCCTGGATGCGGCTGGCTTCGGCCTCGCATCCACCTACCTCGATGAACGACGTGGGATAACGACAACCGCCAGCTTCAGCGAATGCCCGTCTTGCTCGGGTCCTAAGCTAGATCAGTCGGATTTCCAAGCCAGTTATTCATGACAATAGCTGTCGAAGGACCTGCGGCACGGTGTTTGGCGATGACATCGCCCAGACACCGATACGTATCCCAGCCCCCGAGAGAGCTTACCCCCGCACTTGGACCCCTCTTCGGCGGCCTGGAGCCGGTCCCCAAAGCTGAGCTTGCAGGCGCACCTCACCTCACCTCACTCGCTTTGAGTTGCCGGCGTCGTCCCCAAACTCACCTGCCATCTCAGCTCCCCGTCTCCAACGCCATTGCGTCAGACCAGAGGTTCAGCCATGTCGGGTCTGCAGTGGTTCACGACGAAAAAGAAAAATTTCGCTTCTCCAATTCACCAAGTACCAACCAAGCCTTCTTTTCACCAAAGAGCCGGCCCCGCCGATCGCAACGGTTCCTGAACCTTGTCTGAACCAACCCTTTCCCATCGCTCCCCGTCCTGCTGGCTCACAGCAACGCTTCTCGCCAAATCGGCGCCATGCGACAACCGTCGAATTGAGCATGGATCCTCCAGTGGACTCAACTCTGCCCCTGCTTCACCTAACGCTACTCTTGACGTAGCAGCAAGGTGTCGTGGCCAACCTGTCTCGTCCGGGTTTCCTAATATCGACTCCCGGACGACTGCTTGAGATGCAAAATGCCACCTCTGGTCAGGTTGTTGGCGCCATAACTCTCAGAGAGGGTGCAACCCTCGCTCAGGACAGGGGATCCCACCCCTCTCGGCCCTCTTCTTTCCCACTCTGTCAGTGACAACTCTCCTCCCGCAACCCGGCCTCCATCTGGACCCCCATCAAGAATTGGATCCTGGGATCCGATCCCTTCAGCAACCACCTCCACTGCGACCCTACACACATTCGCATCGTCCGCAGCTGCCTCCAACGGCCGCTTCTAAGCGATTCGTCGACGCGCCTTAACCCCCATTTCTTGACCTAGCCGTCCACTCGTTGGCAACCTTGCAATGAATTCGTGCGGCGTGGTCAAACACTCTCTGGGGTTCGGGAACCTGACTCGCAAACGAGCGTGGGTTGACGACGCCATCCCACGAACCCGAGATTTGCCTTGTGACACCCCGACGTCCAACGGGAGTTCACAGACTTGACCAGGCCGAGCCAAATACTCGGTTGTCTCACCTGCAGGAGAAGGGATTGACAGGCACACATCGTCACCACGCGCCCTTATGACAGCATCGCGCACGTTTAGGGTAAACATCACGTACGCATTGGTCGCCGCTTCAACATGGCTGGTGGTGGCCAAGACAACAGCTCTGGTGCCATATGAAGCTTTCAGCTCCTCATTGTTTGCTGTTTGATTGCCGAGTTGGGCCTCGTCTGCATCGCAGGCGTGGGATGCTGCGGACACTGCTGACAGGAAGACGAGAGAACCTCCACTTGACTGGAGACGGGCCACCCTCACCGCGTGCCGTGATCCATCATGAGGCCGGAGCATCGCCGAGGTCTCGGCCCTTACCATGGGCTTTTTTTCGGTCTTGAAACGTTCCTTCGGCGACTGGCTACCTTTCTATTACAGTTTTGCTTCTCTTCATCATGCTTCCTCAAATCTCCGATGGGGTCCCATTCGCCCGTCTGTGCTCCCATACGTTATCTTTGTGGATCAGATCGTAGATCCACTGATAGGGAATCGGACGGTTGGGCGTTATCTCAAGCTATGACTGTCGCCGTCTCAAGCTCTACTTTGTTAGCTTCAAGAGCTAATTGACGAATTTGCGCTTCTAGCCCACTAGTCTAACCGGCCAACAAGCCTTTTCCAGGCTGGCCTTTTTGGCCTGTACCCCGCCAATCGGCCGTTCCCTGCAGATGGTAAGACGAAGCGGAGGGAATGAGGGGTTCTGTTGCTCGTCCCTGTGCAACTCTATGGCGAGGTAATCGTCAGTAATCGAGAGGAAGCATCTTCAACCTATCGCAGCCCTCCTTCTCAACCGATGCTGGTTCATGCATGACATCAGCGACGAGGGAGAACAAACCCTACGGTTTGTCCGTTTACCGCAGTAACCGACGCGCAAGTTCAACCCTTGTCCTGTTCAGATCAAGGCCACGAGACGGCGACGAGGGCGAGGACGACGTCGCCGCGCATGCAAGCTCAACCAACCCGAGACTTTACGGACATGCCATCCGTCTCGGCACAGGCAATCCGTCCCGATGACTACTCATGACAATGCATACACGGGACCCAGCTGTCCGGGCGCCATCGGTATCGTTGCCGCCGTCGTGCAAATTTGCACCGCGCTTGTCGCGTGCCCATTTGCCGATCCAGGGTAAGACATCACAGCCCAAGCGGAGCCATGACGGGAACCTTGCAGCCGATATGAAGAACGTACGCCAAGTCAGTGAAGATCAAGAGTTCCCCGCTCTTTATTCCTTGATACCGACGACAACCATATTTCGCGGGCTCAACCCATAATCGAACACCGTCTCAACCCAGGCGTCCCGGACAACGTCCGCGTGCTCCTTGAGGAACAGCCAGCGGTCTGTGACAATGAGCGACTCGACGACGCAAGCGCTGAATGCCATCAGACTCCACACCGCGGCGACCTCCTTCTTGCGGGAAAGGTATTCGTCCTCGTAGCGCTTGATCTCCTCGTCAGACATGTCGGACATCTTCTCCTTGATGATGGCACTGTACTGCCCGTACTCCCGGTTTGTGGTGAGCTTGGTGACGGCCCCGCGGATGTAGTCGCCCAGCGAGCGGTAGCAGGCCTTGCGCAGGGAGCCGATGATGACGGGGTTGGTGCTCATGTTGAAGGGCGTCTCAGGGGTCTCGTCCGAGTCGGCGTCCGGATCGCGGTGGTAGACTTTGGATATGACGCCCTTGTCGAGGAAGATCTTTTGGAGGATTGCACGGAAGAGATGGCGAGTGAAGAAGTCGTCGCTCTCCTCTCGCGTCCAGTTTTGGGGTGCTTGGCATGCCATCATCCGCGCGGTGATGTTCATGCGGACGCCGCCGTCGTAGGTCGAGAGCTTCTCGCTCAGGGGAAAGCCCTCGGGGTCGAAGCGCGAGGACTCCCTGACGACGCGACCGTTGAGGGCCTGCAGCGACGGGCGGGCGTAGGTGTACTTGAACGTCGGCGGGCCGAGTTTCTCAGTGAGAAGATTGTAGCAGCAGCCGACGATGGCGACGGAGTGGATCGCCGGGTTCATGATTAGTGAGCGGATGCCGTAATGTGAGAGGTTGCCGCACGAGTGGATCGAGACGGCCATCATCTTGAGCTCTTTGTCCTCCTCCGGGAGGACCTCCTTCTCAATGCGCCCAATGACTTCCGTGAGGTCGCCGCTCTCCAGCCTGCCGACCACGTACGACACTGAGCCCTTTCCGATGGCGCGGTTGTACTGCGGTTCGAGCTCCTTGATGGGTCTAAAGTCAAAGTCCTCAACCGCATCCGTAGACGGCTTCGTGATCTTCTTGACGTTGTCGGTGCCGAACTTGTCGGCCTGCATCTGAGCCCACAGCTTCTTGTTCCGCATGACGACTTCCTTGCCCGCCAGTCCGGACAGCACGTCCAGCCCCTTTGCGCCGTCGATGTTGTGCTCGCGACCCTCCACGGCCACGACGTGCCTATTGTAAGGGGGTAGCGCCAGGGTACGGCCGAGGTAGTTCTGCCCGCTGCCAAAGTCGACAAAGTGCGTCGTCTCCTTGTCCCAGCGCTCCGCGATGGCGCCGGCGAGGGAGTCCACGTACCGCGCGAAGTGGGCGACCTCGTGCACCTTCTTGGGCTTCATGCCGACGGCAACGGAGCGGGACAGCTTGGGCGGCGGCTTCGTCTCAGACTGCGAGGGCTTGAAGTCGCGCGCGAGAGAGAAGCGGCGGATGTCGCGGACGTAGGCGAGGAAGCTCTCCGGCGGGGGCGGGTCCATCGCGGGGAGGTTGTTCAGGTCGTCCCTCATGAGCAGGTCGAGCAGGCGCATGGTGTCGTAGGCGAGCAGGAAGGGCTGCCATTCCTGGGGCAGGACCTGGTGGAAGAGGCCCGGCGTGTTTGTGAAGAAGTCGAGGACGTGGACGCCGCCGCAGAGGATCTGGAAGAGGTCCGTCTCCGTGACGAACCTGAGGAGGGCGGAGACGTAGGCCTCTGGCGAGGGGAACTCGTCTGAGCACGGGAGGGGCTTTTCTGGGATCATTTTTGGATGGCTGCGACTCCCTCGATGCCTTTCCAGAGTTGCGGTACTGTTGCGGTACTGTTGCGGCCTGTAGAATGTCTCGAATTATGAGACGCTGCCCAAGTGAGCGACCGAGTTGTGAGTGAGTGTGTGAAGTGAGTGACTGTGGAAATACGTCTGAATATACATCCCACTTACATAAAAAGAAAGTGAAGGGACCCCTCTATGGGGAAATTTTTCTCGGTGAAGGAGGGGTCACTTTGGTGGTTATTCTCGGTGAGTCTGCACCCCATCTGAGCTCCTTCAGCCGAAGAATCCCCGGATGCAGCAGCTTGTCACTGCAGCGAAGTACCCCCAAGTACCCGACACCGAGTGGACACCTAAGGGGGGCCAGCTGGAAGCTTACTACCACCACCGTCCGCAGCAAGCAGCAGCGCAAGACAGACGCGCAAACGTCATCCCAGCCGCGTTTACCTAAAAGGTAAATTGACTACAGATCACCCATAACGCATATCCGGTGCACCTAGTATTCGGCCACCATCGATTGGACACCCGAAATAGACACAAATCTTGACCGGCGCATCGATTGTTCCAACTACAACTGCACCCGCAAACCAATGCGTCCACGGATGCGCCTTTCCACACCCTCGTCGCCAGGATGATGTCCTCCGCCAACGAGGAGGATCCCTTCCTCCAAGTTCAGCAGTATGCGCATCCCCCCTTCCAGCCATCGAAACCAGTAAAGGAGATGGTCTCTAACTAACAATAAACTCGCAGAGATGTCCTCGCCCAGCTGGATTCCACCCGGCCCATATTCACCTCCTACCTCCGCATCCGCTCCCTCTCCACGTCCCCGACGTCCCCCGAACTGGCCTCCGCCCGCTCCGACCTCGAATCCGCCCTCGAGTCGCTCGCCGAAGACCTCGCCGACCTGGTCGAGTCCGTCAAGGCCGTCGAGTCGGACCCGGCCTCCTTCGGCCTCTCCGCGTCCGAGGTCACCCGCCGCAAGCGGCTGGTCCAGGAGGTCGGCGGCGAGGTGGAGGACATGCGCGACGAGCTGGCCAAGAAGCTCGGCGACGCCGCCGCATCATCAGCCGCAAAGGGCAAGGGAGCCTCGTCGGACCTGCCGGACCCGAGCTCCTTCGCGATACCCGACGGCGACGGCGGCGACGGGTACGCCGAGTTCGAGCAGCAGCAGCAGCTCGAGATGATGCGCCAGCAGGACACGCACCTCGACGGCGTGTTCCAGACGGTGGGGAACCTGAGGCGGCAGGCCGACGACATGGGCCGCGAGCTCGAGGAGCAGCGCGAGATGCTCGAGGTCGTGGACAGCGTGGCGGACCGCGTCGGTGGCAGGTTGCAGACGGGCGTGCAGAAGCTGAACTACGTCATGCGCCGGAACGAGGATCGGTTGAGCAGCTGCTGCATTGCGGTGCTCATCTTCGTGCTCATTCTGCTGCTCGTTTTGTTGTTGATACTATAGCGATCTCGAAATGGTCGTTTATGAGGCTTGTGTGGAAATGTGTAGGAACGAAAAGGAGGGGGCATTCACCACATACATTTACAGGAAGGGCTAGGGAGTTTATACGGAGCGCTTGTCATTGTCTTTCTTTTTTGGTCTAATAGTGTCTACTGCTGGGGAGGTCCTCAATAAGGATACGGTATATTGTTGCATCCAACGAACGATACGCAATACCAAACTGCTTGTCTCCTCGCACAAAGGCATTCTCGCTGTGCCAGCCCGATGATGATGGACAAACGACTCGCCGTCGAGAGTCAACGCTTTGCAGTTTTTTAACTGTATGAGAGTGTTGTCCAGAACGCCTAAATGTATATGTGCCCCTTTTCCTGGTATCAGAAACCGGCCATCCTTGAATTGGTTATGTATAAGATTATGTTTTCTGTTCCCCTTAGTCGTACTACGACAAATCCAAGCCGGAATCTCTCCTCATGACGTCTGCGAGCACCTGCAGAGCCTGGGCTGCCGTGGCTCCAGCGGGAGCCTTTCCAGGAAACTCCACGAGCGCCAAGCGCAGGGCAGCGAGGGCGGCGTTTCCGTAGAAGTTGATAAACCGTTGCTGGTGGCCGTCGATCATGGATTTGAGCACGATGTACTGCGTGTTCGAGATGAGCTGCGGCGGTGAATTGACTATCTGCGCCATGGCCTTCCAGTAGTTCGTCGGCGGGTACGGGTTTGTCTTGGACGCCTTGCTGAAGTCTCGCAGGGCAATAGCCGCGAAACCGGCGCCGAGACCCGTCATCCTGTCATTGTGCGCCTGCTCAGGAATCCAATTCCCGTCCTCTTTCTTCCAACCGATAGCTTGGCGGCCCGCTTGCGTCTTGTCGTTTCCCCTAGAACCGAACAAGACTGGGCAAGCCACACGGAACTTGGCGATCAGAATGTCAATCAGGGAGACGCCCCGCCAGTGGTAATCCTTGTTGGAGAAAATTTGAGCCGTGACGATACCGACTGGCTCGGCGGACTTGGTATTCGCGCCACCCTCGTTGGCGAACTGTCCTATAATTGCCTTTGAGAGGATGTTGAGAAGATAGATAAACAGCGCCGGGAGCTGTTCGCCATTGTGGACAGCTCCTTCGACAGGTTCTCGATTTCGTAGAACATACAGACTGACGTCTATCGGCGGCGACTGTACACTTGCGAGTGATTCACGCAGAGTGACGTTGATTGTGTTCATCTGAAATGATGTCAGTGTCTTGGCAGGGATAAAGGCAGCGGCATCCTTACAGGTACGGCGTTTGCTCCCTTGCCAGCGGTCAATTGCCCGATGGATTTCCTGATTTGTCGGCGCATGTCGCCGAGCTTGCCTTTGAGCGGCGATCCAGGCTGCTTCGATAGAGCCTCGACGTCCTTTCTCAGCTTCTTCAGAGCTTGGTGTATTTCAGCGTACCTATCGGCGTCTGCCGATTTCGCGGGTATCGCGGCAGCGGCGGGCTGCACGGCGGGCTTCGGAGGCTCGACGGGCTTCGTCAGGAACCCATTGGCTTGGGCTGGCGCTGCGGCAGGTTCCTTCGCAAGTGTTGGTAAAGGAGCTGCCAGAGAAGTCTTCGCCGTCTGAAGAGCTGGCGCCGAAGCGTTTGCCACGGGTGTCGGCTGTAACCTTTGCGGTGCTGGAGCAGCAGTCTCGACCTTGACTGCTTGGCTGGTGGTGCCATTGACCTGGGGCTCTTGCTTCTTCGGCGGTACGGCTTCAGGTTTGGGAGGTTCGGGTTCGGGCTCGGGAGGAAGCTGAGGTATCTGCTTTGCCTTGAGCTCTCTAAGCCTCTCCTGTTCGGCGCGGACAGCAGCCTCGGCCTTCAATCGCTCCTCCTCCTCCTTCTGAAGTTGTGCTATCCTGCGCTGCTCGGCCTCCAGCCGCTGCTTCTCCTCCTGCAATTGGTGGACCTCGTACACCCTGAGGGCAGCGAGGCGAACACGCTCGTGTTCGAGCTGGGCAGCGGCGAGGGCATCGCGATGGCTCAGCTCTGAATTGCGGTTCTCCGACAGAAAGTCTGCGACAAACCCACGCTCAGGACTCTGCTTGACGAAGTCCTTGCTGTGGCTCCTCCGTGAAGGCGAGGAGTGCGCCATGGTTGGTTGCACGCGGGTGCCAGACGTTGCTGGATGTAGCCGGGCCTACGGCATCGGGCGGTGGGGTCGGAACGCGTGGGAACCACGATGACACCGGCGACGGGGAAACGAGTGAAAAAAAAAAAAATAAACGATAAAAACCCCCAACAAATCGGTCGAAACGAGTGACGTCCGCCGTAGCCGTTCGGTCGGGGGAGACAAGGCTCTCGGGCGATCTTTGGGAGTCCAGACGAGGCTGTGCTCCTTTGCGGCCTCGGGGTCCTTTGGAAGGAGCTTGTCGGTTTGGGGTTGGCTACGTTCGGTGGTGGTGTGTCGTCAACTGGGCAAGGTCGAGACTGAGACCGTCGAGTTCAGGTTGGGTGCGCTGCGCGGGTGTGGAGCAGGGAAAAACAATACGATGTATCAGGCGCGCTTTGACGGTGTCCGCAGATGGGAAGATGTTACCGTTCGCGGCGACTTGGGGCTCTTTCGGGGGGGCGCTGGAAGCGACGACCCCTGCTGCACTGCTACCCTGTACCCGCGATGCAGCGTTTCTGCTCGCAGCTGTTCCCGTGGGGAGGAAGGGGAAGGGGGGCACAGGGGGAAAAAAAAAAAAAAATAGAGAAAAAGAGCTGCTGGCAGTCTGGACACAGAGTCAAACAGAAGACCAGAAAACCAGAGACGTCGCCATGGTTGCAGTATTGGTGGGGCTATTGCGGCTTGTTGAGCCTATAGCGGCTCTAGGCTCGAGCAGTTTTCAGTATAGCGTCCCCGCTGGTTGGTCGGACCGCGCGTGGGTCTCTCCGTCCGCCCTAGGTGAGGTCGGGCACCTAAATAGTCCCGTCATGGTAGGTAGCTTTGAGTGCAGTGAAGACAGGCACATACTTCACAAGGAAGAGCCTGGAGCCTGAAGCTTGAAGCCTGAAGGTTTGGCTGCCAGACTCTCCTTGAGACCATGATGTGATGCAGTGTCTGAGGACTCAGGTTGATGGTATTGCCGGGCGGTGAAGGACTCGCGGGCCGTTCCAAGTTTCCCAGTCTGGTGCGGACTGAAGTTTGATTGTGGCCTGTCTCGCTTTGGCTTGCCCTGCTTGTGGCCCTGGCAATGACAGAATAGTCCAGCGCCCAAGCAGACTGAGACTGTCCAGATCGTCTGAGAGAGAGACGGGAGGATCTCCAACTCTGGGTTGGGGTGATGCCATTGAGGAGCGATGCTGTCCGGGAGGTACGTAGGTGGACTCCACAACGGTGCTGGGGGACTCGGGGGACTCAATCGTTCTTGTATCGTATTTCTGTCCAGCGGCCTGTCCAAGAGTCACGCGGTGTTCCGAGTCTTGAGTCCTGACGGAGCTCCTTGGCACCCCAGACTGGCTTTGCCAGGCCTGCCTGGTTTACCGATTCTCTCTACCAGTTCCATGCTTTTGATATCCCTGGGAACGAACAACAAAAGGAG